CTAGGATAAATTATACTGACTAGATAAAAATCTTTCTGGCAATATGCCTTGTGTTCAGATCTACTCCAGCTGCTAAGACCTTGAAAAAAATATTTCCTATGTGATTAGTATCCTAAAGGATATTTCACACTCCTTGTTAGATTCTGAACGTAGACGACTTCTATTTTTTGTAAAGTCAGCATAAAACAAATTATGCTACTCTTGGATCTTTTTGTTTCCATATGAAATGTTTTTGTGTAGTGGTTGCCTTTGCTCATAGACATATTATTAGATTCCAGGAGATGGGGAAAAAGACAATCAGCTATTTCAGTCATGATTAAGGACAGAAATTTTCTTTCACAATTACATAGTTTCAGAAAAGTTGTTCATTTATTGTTTCCAGATGGAAATAAAATTCTATATTGCATTTTTTCTTGTAACTGAAATACGTAATTATATGTAATAATGCAAAGCACTTTGTAAAAAAATATTTAAAATCATATATATTTATAAAAAAACCAACAGGAAACAGATGTTAAGCTTAGCACGTTGAGACACAGCAAAGTACGACTGCATTAGCCCACGATGTCCTTCAAGTGCTCTCTGGGATATTAACTAAGATTTTTATTAAGTGATGAAATGTGGTATTCTGTGTGCAGTCTGTGGTGTGGGAAGATCTATCAGCATTGACTAAGTTCTGTGCATAGCTGTAATTTAATCAAACTTCTGTGGTAAAGTACTTCAGTGGAGTTTTAGGTGTGGCATGGATAGAAGGTAAGACTGGAAGAATGTTACCTTAAAGCTCTGGTTTTTAAATGTGATTTTTATATCCGAACATTTACAAGGTTTGGAAGAATGATTTATCCAGATTTCTGATGTAAACACACAAAACATTTTAGTTCATGGTTCTGTTTCCTTCTGAGCTGCTAATTCCAAGATTGTGGTTAAAAAAGGTAATTTTAAGAATGTCAGTGATACTTAAAAGTGAAAGGCAAAGAAACAGTGGGTCATCAGGTATTTCTGGCTTGTGTTTAGTTTGTGTTAATAATTTATGTTTGGCTAAATTCACCAAGTTAATTGTTATGATCCTGTAGTACTTGGCGGGAAATCAGTTTATCAGCAGGGCCTTTGATTTAGATCTAGGACTGAAAAAGGAGGAACATACTCAATAGGACTTCAGTGTTAAAAGCACATGCAGCATGTTTTGTGTAGCCTTAGATACAGAAGGTAAGCAAAGGGAGGACTTCACAGCAGGAAGAGTTGTTTGCAACCTCCTCTTTCCTAGAAGGAGCTCTGAGTGTCCAGAACATACCTGAAACCTGTGGCCCCAGCAGCTAGGCTGGATGAGGGTTTCCAGATGTGCAGTGTGTGTGTTGTATGTGCATTTCTGGTATCTGTGACAAAAAATGTGCTTCCTGAAGAATGCAAATTCTTTGATACTGAGAGACTGATGTGCATCGTATCATTCTAAAACAAAGTGATACAGAGGAAAAGTGAATTATGTTTTTGAGCTTACATTCATGGCTTTTGTGCATACAGGGACCTGGAGTGACAATTGAAAAGTTCAGTTAATTAATGCTAGGCATTTTGTGTCCTATTAGTGCAGAACCAAGGGAAATTATTTTAAATGACAACATTTGTGTTCTTAATCCTGAAAGATTATTGACAACAGGGATTGCAGAAGCTATAAGATTGCTCTTCTTATATGGGGGATAACTGGAAGAAGCAGTTCTGGCTAGAGTCTTGTTTAACTCTGGCTGCTGGACGCTATCAGTTTAGTTCCTCTTACGGGAAGTGGAGCTGAAAGCTCCTTCTTGGCCACGTTCTTGCTGAAGGAGACCAAAGGTCAGACCAGCAGGATTCTGCATGTTGCCATAAGATAAGCAGCTAGTGGGCTTGGGGTTGGTTGGGTGGTTGGTTGAGATCCTTAAGAGAGGAAAACATTTTTATTTTTAGATTTTAGGATTTGGTTTTTGCTTTTCATACTTTGCAGCAAAAGTTTCATTTTTTTAAGGCAAAGAGGAGAGGAAGACAAATGAAGCCAGTGTTTTCCCATAACTATAGCATTTCATCACTTATGACTTTAAAAAACAAAACTTTGTGGTAAAACAAGGTAGTTGCTCATTCTTTCCTGTATATGATGTCTTTAGCACAGGTGAATACAAGGCAGTTATGCTTTTTTTTATTAGTTCCTCCTAGCCTAAATGTGTGGCTAGTTTTCTATACAATATAAAAGTAGCTACTATGATGGAAATGATCAGTTCCTGTTTGAAGGTTAAAAAGCAACCCTTAAAAAGTAAGTGTTGTTTAGTAGAAATGCAAAGGAGATAGAACAAAATCTTATTTTTTTTTTTTTTAACAGAATATTCACTGTGTATCTTTGGGATAGAAATCTGTTTTGTTGGGTTTTTTTTCCTGTCAGATGTTTCTCAGCCTTACAAAAGCTGGAATAAAATAACACTTTTGTAGCTAGAAATTCTAATAGTTTATTACCTTCAAAAAGAATTCACAAAGTGATCACATATTGCAGAGGCTGCTATTCAGAAGGTGCCAAATTTGAGAGAAGTGAGAAAGAATTAAATTAATTTTTTTTCTGTCTTGTAGGGTAAGTTATTTTTAAGTACTTGGCAGATTCAGAAACATGTTAAGAAACTTGACTTTTATTGGTTTCTTATAAATCTTTTCTTGAAGATTGGATGAAGTGCTTTGAACTAAGAGATAAGTAGAGCAACAGGCTTGTGGTATATAGCTTTATGTTCCAGCTGTTTTGCCATTTCTCCTACTTTAGAAGCATATTTTATTACTGACAAGCAAAAAAAATCATAGAATCAGGAAAAGACCTTTAAAATCATGGAGTCCACCCGTTAACCTAACAGATGACTACTAGGATGCTTCTTGTAAGCTACATTTACAGTATTTTCTTAAAAGTGAAGTTCTAATTTTGTTACTTTCTTTTACAGAACTTACTCTATGCCATTTAATTTTGAAAATGTTTTGCATGTGAATGTCTAAAATTATGAAGGCCATAGGCAAATGGTTCCATTTGAAAGAGACACATTAAATTTATGAATGCATGGTGGCCTTTTCTTTACTCATATATTCACAAAGGCTTCAGCTTGCCCTGAGAGCTGAAGCTGGGCTGAGAACTGAACCTGGGTTCAGTGAACACAGCCTTTCTGTGCATCGAATTGTATGCCCTCCATTGTCAGTATAGTTAATACTGTAATACTTAGCTTACATACCTGAGATAGAGAAGATACACAACTGAACCATGTTAACCACTTCTCTCAGACTTTTATGTGTTAGGATCTTAGAAACTTTCAAAAATGTTTTCAAAAGTGATTTCAGAGGGTTCAGGTTTTCTACGCGTGTTTGTCAGATGAAAGGTGTGTGTTGGGAAAGCATTATTTCTTCTTGCTCCAAAAATCAGTGCTTTTAAAAAGGCAGGTGCCTGAAAGTTGAAAGGCACGAGGGTGTTTACCCTTCTCTTTGAACAATTTAGGCCAGCCTTGTGGAAATAGAGAGAAAATATAGGTGCGTGACTAATATTGCTGATTAATGATCTGGAAAGAATTTGTAAATAGTTGCAACTTAACAACTCAATCTGGCAGCAGTGTGTTTTCAGACAGCATATCTATGCTGTCAAAGAAAATGGGAGAAATGATCTGAGTGAGCATGGGCAGAGCGGGCAGGACAGGCCGTGTCCTGCGTGTGCACTGCCTGAGGAGAAGGGGAAAAGCCTCAAATCAAGACCTGGTTGTGTGTAGAGTCATAGAATCATAGAATGGCTTAGGTTAGAAAGGACCTTACAGATCATCTCATCCAACCTCCCTGCCACGGGCACCTCTCTACTAGACTGGGTTGCTGAAGGCCTCATCCAGCCTGTCCTTGAACACCTCCAGGGAGGGGCATCCACAGCCTCTCTGGGCAATCTACCCCAGAGTCTCACCACACTTGTACTGAAGAACTTCTTCCTAAGATCTGTTCTGAACCTACTCTCCTTCAGTTTAAAACCATTTGCCCTTGTCCTGTCGCTGCACACTCTTGTGAAAAGTCCCTCTCCAGGCTTCCTGTAGCTTCCCTTTGGGTACTGGTAATATGGCTCTTTGTCTAGGTTCACTTATTTTCTGCAGAGTAAAACTAATAACAGACTGTATTGTACCATACTGCACACAATCTAAGTGCTAGTTTGTCTCAACTTCTTTAAATATATTAACTTTTCTTGCTGGACTGTATGCCCTTAATTGTGTAAATAATAAACATGAAAGAAATATGACCACCACAATCTTTTCTCCATCTCATGTTCCATCACCCTGCCAAAACTCAATCAGGGGCTTGATTTGGCTTTAATTTAAGGGTTTGTTTGCATTTTGCTATGACTTTTACTTTGTTTTCTGACGTTTTGTATTTGTGCAACATGTATAACGTTCTCTCTCACTTTTCAAGCTGTCACTCTATTTCTAGCTGCCCCCAATTATTTCCATCCATTTTATAGCCAAACAATTTTCATTTCTGGAGTCTTATCTCTGAAATAACACAGGTAAAATGATTCAGACCAGTATTGGAGCAGGTTTGCAAATGGGCAGATATACCTTAATTAGCAAATGGCCAAGTTTAAGGATACTCCAATTAGAGACATTCTCATACTGGTGTCTGAGAACTTAAACTTGACTCTTAACAAGAAAGCAGGTAACACTTGCCATCTTCTGAAACTGAAAACAGACACTGTCCGAAACCATTGACTTTCACAATATTTTGCCTCTAAAATTTTCTCTTAATTGGGTAACAAATACTATGTAGGGAATGTCGTCTCTATCTCAAAGGAAATGCAATCCCACAGCTTTCTTCTTCTTTTCTTTAAAAACAAAATTGCTTCCAAATATTTTCACCTGTGTCTACTGTTTCAGACTAAGGTTTCAGAAGTATTACTGCTGATACTTATCCCATATAGTAATTCAAAGGTGGTTTATGTGCTGTTTTCATAATGCTTTAAAGCTTTTTTCTTTTTGAATAACTCTTAGGAAATGGCAAAGATTCTGAATCATCCAAGAGTATATGCTTTTCTGCACATACCCGTCCAGTCAGCCTCTGACAGCGTGCTCATGGACATGAAAAGAGAATACTGCGTGGCAGACTTCAAACAAGTAGTGGATTTCCTTAAAGAAAAGTAAGTCTCCTAGTATTTGAGAAAATAACGGTGTTGGCTTTTTGCAATGTCAAGAACATGTGGCTGAAAACACAATTACTTGCAACTGCATAATTAAGGTATGAAAAAGAGTGAGCTTCTTTGAGCTTTCAAAGTCTTTGGAGTTTTCTGTAAATCCCTTGATGTGGTTTGCCCCTTTGCTTGAGCTTTTATAAGCATCTTAAATCTCTGCATGACATGCTTTTAATTTGTCAATATATTCCTAATCTTTTTCAAATAATACGTTCTTAAATTATTTTTTATACTTAAACTGCTATATATAGACTGCTTGAAGTTGAAGTTATTGAAGTCTTCTTTAATGTGGCTTCTGAGAATTGTATACTCTCTGTACTGGAGGTGATCCAGGTCCAGTAAATCTGAATGGCTTGGCTTGTTGTTTTGTTAAGTATTTTGTGTCCTGTAGCTGATATACACTTACATCAATATAGCAATACTCTACTCTTGCTTATGGGACTAATGATTTCTAGGATAATTTCAAAATTACTTCCCTTAACAACAAAGCTAGTTGTGAGAAATAAAATCTTAATCTGTTTACTTATGCTGACCTGGAGATGAAAGTTACATTCACCTGCAAAGCTTTTGTAACTACAAGTACTAATTTTATATCCAAGGAGGTCTTCTCTTAGCTTTAATATTCAATAGTGACATGTTTTGATGGGTATCTTTGCACCAATTCTCCTAAAAATAGAAATCTGGAGAATTATTTGTCTCTATCACCTTGTTTGGGCTCTTTCTATCTACTTTTTTTGTTGTTTACATACTCATTTTAATGAATGAAGGGCAGTGGAGTTGTACCTTTGACTCTTAAGTTGCATTAAAATACGTGTACATAAAAGAATCAAACTTTTGTAATAATTTTTGTAATCTATTTTTCATCATAATTGAAAAGTCTAGCAGTCTGACTGTGTAAAGCATGTCATGTAAGAGCTGCATGGAAATTATATGTAAGAAAGAAGAGAGAACTGCAATACAAGAGGCTACAGGAGGCTGAAGGGGACCTCCAGGAAAGCTGAGGAAGAACTGTTTACCAGGGCGTGTAGTGATAGGATGAGGGGCAGTGGTTTTAAACTAGAGCACAGGAAATTTGTGTGAGACATTAGGAAGTTCTTCACTATGTGGGTGGTGAAACACTGGAACAGGCTGCCCAGAAAAGTGGTGGAGGCCCTATCCCTGGAGACATCCAGGGCCAGGCTTGATGGGGCTCCAAAGAATCTGATCTAGTTAAAGATATCCCTGCTGACTGCAGAGGAGTTGGACTAGATGACTTTTAAAGGTCACTTCCAACCTAAAGCATTCTATGATTCTACAACAGAATCCATTCTGCAAACTGCATGTGTAATTATAGGACATCCCTGTGCAACCAGGAGAACTGATGGAAATGGAGCTGCTTGTCTTCATACAGGTTGATTTGGCTTTAATTTTCCACCCTAAAGAGTCCACAAGAATTTTTGGCCCTTAATTTTCATGTGACTATGGGTCAGATTTAGTTCATGATTAACAGATATATTGGATTCCCACATATCTTAAGTGGGAACTGTGGCAGTTTATGTCTTAGTTGACTTGAAGCTGATTCATTATTCTCTTCAGTAGTTTTAGCATTGGCAGCTATTACCATAACAGCAGCTGGATTTTCGATAATGTAGTATAGCTGGCACATGTTGTAGCATATGGGGATTTATTAAACATTTACCTCTTACACACAGAAAAGAGTGAATAACTCCATAGCCAAATTTAACACAGCTGGTCATTGACTATGCAGTAATCTATGACATATGTCTTTTTCCACAGGCTTTTTTTTAGTGAACTTAACAAGGAAGAAATAATTGGCTTGATGTCTTAGTTTTAAATAATAATAAATTCTATTTATCCTGCTTATTAAGAAACTACCAGATTATCTAGTAGTTCCTGTTAGAAAACAGTCTCCAAATGTTAAAATGGAAAATTCCTGGTACCATATGGCAGCAGGGCAAGGAACCTGTGCGAGGCAGAGATAATGTTTTGGATATTTGAACATGTGCACATCTGTAAAATGAATGCTTTTTTTTTTTCTCTTGCACTTAAGAGCATAGTGTCTTCATTTGTAGCCTCTCCTCTTATGGCAGCAGCCCACTATTACATTCCCATATAGATATTCCCATGAAGATCTCAGCACAAAGTTTGCCAGGACTTAACATTGCTGCAGACAACTCCACGTCCCAGACCCAGAATACCTAAAATTAAATATGTGTTTGAAATTCTTTAATAGCCAAAAGGGATTATTTCCATCCTCCATTTATCAAAAAGGAAAAATAAACCAAGAGTGGAACCTCCTGTATCTCCTTTCGTTGTCGCTAGGGGGATAAAGTCATCTAGAACCTTCCTACACAAAGTGTACAAGGGTCTTAATCGATAGATTCCAAGTGACGCATTTGTCTCTAAAACATGACACCTGCTCTTTAGTATCTCCACCTAAAACTCTGTTAAACCACTAATTTTATAGGCTGACTTGATGAAGAGGTAAAGCCACCCATCAAGGAATTACATAGCTATCAGTTAAGTGCTTAATAACTTGAGTTCAAACATCTAAGCAAATAAAAATTAGGTACAGCATGTGAAAAATTAAGGGAAAAAGAAAAGAACGAGTCATGTCATCTTTTTGGTTTTGGAACCCCGAACGTACCAAGTGATTCCTGAATCTTTCTTTTCTCAGTCAAACCATCAAAACTTTATGGGGTTTTTTGACTCCCAGAAGAAGGAGCAAATGCCTTTCCTTCCTCTGGAGAACCAGAGTGATTGCAGAGGTATCTCCCTCTGGGAGTGGGGATTTATTAACACAGAGTGCCTTATAGAGAAGCTAGAGATCTTCAAAGCAATTACTTTTGTGCTGAAACTCATTTTTTAAAAGAATGGAGCAGTCTAGACCATCTGAGACTGTGAAGTTAGATGTATCACTTCTTTTTTTCTCTTTGAGGACTTTTTCTTCAGGCAAGAACTCTATAAATGAATTTTTAAAATTACTATTGTTGTAGTGCAGTCTTTCGATATACAGCACTTTGTTTTTTAGAGCTGCTCTCCCCAGCCAGGTGACAATGGTTTTGATTTATTATGAAGACCAATAGCAAAATAGACAGAAAATAACCCCAGAAACACAAATACATTAGCCTGAAAAACTGAACTACAGAAGTCTTGTTTTATATTTTATGTAGAAATCCCTTCTTAGATATTTACACTTTTTTCACTGAAATTTCAGTAAATTCAAATATTCAGAAAAGTACTATTGTGTAGTTGATGTCGGTAGCTGATCTAGAGATACATTTATATATATTTCCTGAGGATTTATTTGAAACTGTTCTAGAAAGCAACAGAATAAAGGAAATGAGGATGTACTGATTAACTTAAAAGGTGATCATGTACAAGTCGTACCTAGTCTGTAGGGACTAGCTCCCCACTTTGTAATCTAATATAGGAATCTGGATTTGCAAGACTAGTTCCTGGATGAGATGCTCATTTCAATGTGTTTGCAACTAAACATCTTTAGAAATCTCTGCTTAGTAAATTTAATCCTGAGACCAATTTAATCTTATATCAGAAAATCTTTTAATTGTGGTGTCATTACATCAAAATGTCAGCTGTTTTTCAAGTGATCTCAACTTTCAAGATTCAGCATAAATTATATTTCTGAAAGGTGATGTTTGTAGTTGTAAAAAGAGCAAGACTGCTTTAATTATCTCAAAGTTTTGAAACTTAATCCCCTGAAATTTACTTTTGCTGATAAAAGCAAACAATCGGAATATATTGTATTTAAATAAACCTGAGTTCTGAATGTCATCTTCTATAATTGCTTGAATAATCAGCAGTGTGAATACATACCCAGTAAAAAAATCTTTAGACTGGTAGTATGTTTTACAAATTTCTTGTTTGCTGTCGTTGACCATACTATGTTGTTTCACTTTTCTGGTTTGTGAAATGATTACGATGTTTATCAGAGTTTATTCCCTATTAGTGCTGCTTGATAAGATAAGAGAAATGTAAACCCAAAATCTAGAAGAGTGGGAAAAACTAGGGAAACTTAGAGCTAGACTGAAACACTACAGCTTTCTGATTTGGGAAATAGTGTAACGCCGAGGGAAAGCTGGGTTTGTCTTGCACTTTGTTTTTGTTTGTGTTCTGAGATAAAACCATAATATTAAATTGTGGGTGGCTGCTGCTTTTCACTGGAGATGGTCTCATAATTCATACTGGCAACATCAGAGATTTCCAGCATCATCTGAAAGCCAACAAACTTGGGCTGCTGAAGGGGAGAGTCACAGCTCTGTCAGGCAGAAAGTTCTCTTCTTTGTTGCATTATTTCTCTCTTTTTCCATCAAAATCACACCTTAGTAGTAAGCCTGCCCTAGCCTCCCTCACTTTTACATAGTAAACAAGTATGGATTTTTCAGCATATGTAGACACATTATTGCATGCAGGTGGAAAAAGTAAAGGTTCAGAAGTAAATGAGTGCAATGCAAAATAGACTGCAAGCTTGCAAGGAGATTAATCACTTGGGTGTAAGCTCCAATCTTAGTTTCCCAGCAATTACAGACAACTGCTGAACGTCTGTAGAAGCTGGAGATATTGTCCAAATTGAGAGATGTTCTGTAGTCCTTTGGGACAGCTGGCTTCAGGGAGGATCCTATCTTTCCTATTGCTTTACATGGAGTTAAGCCAACGAGTGGTAGCTTCAACAACTTCCTAGGCCACCTCTTAATTCTGGTTTTAAGGATTTTAAGAGATTCAGCAGCAACTGAATTTGTGTATCTTTTTATCTGCCCTGATTTTTCTCTCAGCCTGCCTCTGCTTGGACATTTAGACAGGCTGCTTCAGGGTAAAATAGTGTGGCTGGGAGCAGAGTGGAATCAGCTACTGTCTCCTCCCAATCACGGTGTGTATCCACGTTGGTATTTACAGCAATATTTGAGTGCAACATTTCCTAGTCTGCTTTC